CACTCCAATTTCAATGCATATTCTGGAATGTAGAACTCCATAGAACTACAAAATAATGGAAGTCTTATTAATATGATTTTACAACACTGTTTGTAAGACCTGTAAATGTGGTAAAATTACTATTTACAACTAAGACCAACGAAAAAAATAATTTCATTCTGGGAAAAAAAAAAGTTGAGATTCTGAAATGTACTAGTGAAGAATGGAAACGAGATCTTTCTTAGCATGAAACAAACCCTTCCATGCTTAACTACGTTAAAAAGGAAAAATAATCTGTTTTTGGCAAATTATGCAGATCCTAAGTATCACCTGCCTAAAAAAAAAAAAAAAAAACAATTGCCTAAGCTTTTCCTCCTCCTTTGTCTAAAATTCATCTTAATCTCTTTTATTCAGAGCTGTTCCTCTGTCCCTTCATTACCAAATATTGCCCACATGCATCTCTCAACAACTCCTGTTTCGAGACAATGATAGTCTGGGACACATAAAAAGCATTAATGTAGATGAGAGATATATACTAAAACAGTGAGTTAAAATCATTGCTGAAGGTGCCTTACAAAGATTTCAAATCTTTTGCTGTTTGCTGGCTTATCTCTATTGTACATGAAAGTAAGTTACAAAACTAAGGATCTTTCAAAGCTGCAGTCTTTAACTAAGGGTCTTATCATACACAAAGCATGAAAATGTAGAGCAAATGAAAAAAAAATTGGGCCCTTCCATACCTAGGGGAATTGTTCAATAATGGACAACAATAATAAGCAGAAAATAGACTAAAAACCTTTCTAAAGACTGTAATTAAAAGGCAGGGAAGCTTCTTAAATTATGTATCCTTAATCACAATAGTTTAGCCCCTATCTAAGCTGACCCAAAGTTAAATTAGGTCCTATGTAAACAATGATATGCCATGCACACTACCATGAAAGCCACAACTATCGCTAAGTTTTACTTCCAGTGAGACATCCTTAAGACAGGGAGAGTCCCTGCAGAATTGCAGACTTTGCAGCTGCCTAGAAATTATTCTGCAGACAAATCAGAAATGCTTCCTCTTTCTCTCGTGCACAGAACAGCTTTTTGTTCATAAAGTTAGTGTACACCGCATTCCCAGCTGTTTTAATAACCTGTTTCATGTCAAGCTCCTGTCACCCTGGCCTCCGCAGCTTCCCCCCATCCTCATTACTTTCCCTTATACAAGTCTATCAAAAATGCTAGGAATGTGCATATTAATGTACATGTTCTTCAGTCCTCCCTTCACCTCTCCTTCCACGTATATACGGGGGGAGGGAAATTATGTAATTTGTTTATGCTTGGTGTTGTCAGATTGGGTTTTAAAAATTCTCTTTGATCTTGTGTTCAAAACAGACATGATCTATTCACTAAACCACTAGCAAATTTACATACACTTTTAAATATGATTACAGGTATTACATAAATTAAGGTATTGATTGTAAAACATCCAATTACTCATTGCAAGAAAGGCTTGTTCTCCTGCCGCCCCACCCAAGCACATTATTAAGGAGAAAGGATACAAATCTGGCCTGCGGGTTCACTGCTCTGGGCTGTGATCCTATCAAGCCTCGGAACCTAATGAAGCCTGGGCTAGGTCAGTACTTGGAAATCCCCCACCCAAAACAAATCCTGCCGTCCCACAAAGCAGTGATGGTGACTCAGTAGGCAGCATGTGCCTCACTGAGTCAGTATCAAACCAGTGTCTCATCAGCAGAACTACAAACTTTTCAAGAAAAATCAGACCTATGTATATGTGGAGAATTGTCAAAGGAATTTAAAATTTGAAGAAGCATCCCACTTTCTTCCTGACAGAAGGCAGAAATATTAAATAATTTCCCAGGCAAAAAACAGCCCAATTGCCATCGAACCAGAGACACTGTATCCAACTGGAAGAAAATTAATAAAATATACATTTCTGTATTTTCATATCAATGATTAAATGAGAGGCTGAAAGGGTCAAGTGCAGAGCTGCTTTCTGTTCTGCATTTTCTGTGTAGAGTGTCACCGAATAGAAATATTTCCAGAAATTAATGTTGTGGTTTATATTTTTAAGATACTTCTCACAGCAATCCTTTCCCATTTTCTGGTCTGCAGAACGTGACATTTTTCTTTTCATACATAATTGATGGTTCTATTTCACAGCTGTTTGCTCCGACATCTTAGCTACCGTATTCTAGCATCATTTTATGCTGACTGATGGCGAAATATAGGAAAAGTCCACACTGCCAACATCAGAACATACATCCAAATATCCTCATTTATCTTCATAATAATCCTGAACGTCAATCACATTTAACAGCCTCAGAAATCTGGGTTGTTCAGCCAATTGTTATTATCTTTTCAATTTAGCCCTATTACACAGCTCAGTCACCAAGCCTAGCCCACAGAAATACTTATTTAATCTCTCCAGAATTGGCATGTGAAAAGAACAAGAGGCTAGAAAGGAGGTTAGTGAAACAACACTGAGCTGCAGTTGTCTACTGACAGGCAGGTTTTACAAAGATGTACTGCTCAAGTTCACACAGTCAATGCAGACCCCACTGCAGTCTAGTAATTGGACTGGTGTAATTGTAAGATGGTTACATACATGGATCTTTCTCCCAAACTGTGTTCCTTACATGTGGGTACTCTACATGACAAGCAGAAAGTCTTAGTGTACTTGGTCCCCGAACACTCTTGGGGTCTTCAGAAGAATGCA